TGCTAATATTATTGTAATGACATGGTCTCTAAATGAGAACACTGGTTGATGTTGTTACAGGAAAAAGCAAATCAATGTCCTGATATGTAAGAATTATTCTAAGGTTAATTCTGTGGGATTTCACCAGAAATTTACTCTAACATCTGTATATGAAAAAAAAAAAAGTTATGTGTATTGAGAGTAACTTCAGAAGTAATTAGCAGTGTTCATAAGATATAAGTTCCTGGCTTCTTCCTAGACACATTAACATACTCCCAGGTGGTCCTCATAGTTGAGGTACATAAATAGTAGCTGATTTTGATAAATCTCTTTAGTTACCTCAATTCAAACTGAGGTACTAAATTATCAATTTTTTAAAAAGATAGTATTAATCTAATTCATGTGACCACAACTCTCAGAAAACAGGAGATTGGACGCTAATGCTACACAGTAATTTCAGGCTAACCATTTACTTCAAAACAAAAACCGATTCCCTTTAACGCAGAACTAGAATGTGCATATAATCTGGTGAAGAAGGTAATATTTATTGTGGTTTATTAATGTTTCGCATTCCCGGTCCTGTCAACAGAAGGGAGGAAAAACAGGTAAGTTTGAATAAACTTGTATGCTGCTATCCGATTTAAATTTCTTCTTAAAGATAGTAGTCCACTACTCAGAAAGCAGCATACACTTATACCCCTCCGCCAAGATGACTTCAGACTCCAGCTTCTAATCAAGAAAATATTGGTATTTTAAACAGCTGAAACATGGCTTGGAAGTTATCAAATCCATCTGCTACTACTATTACAACAAAAAAAGGCAGTCCTATCATCGGCAATTCTGATAGCCATCCAGTTTATTTCTTTAAACATTTTATTTTTATGAATAGTGTTTTGTGTGCATTTAAGTATACCATGTATGTGCAAAGCAGTGGAGGCCAAAAGAGGGTGTTGGATTCTCTGAACTGGAGTTACAGACAGTTGTTAGCCACCATGTGGGAGCTGGGAACTAAACCCAAATCCTCTGGAAGGGCAGTCAGTGCTCTTAACCGCTCAACCATCTCTCTAGTCCTGTGTTTGGATTATTGGTAGAATTCTTAAGGCTACATGAAACAGCTAGTACAGTGCCTCAGTGCCTCACCCTGTCTCACTCAACTCCCACTTTCTGAGACTTACCTTCAGTGGCAAGTTCCTTCCATATGTGAAAACAGTTGTCACCTCTCCCCTTTTCTTGGTTTCTATCCAAGGTTCCATGTTTTACCAATTCTAAAGTATAGTCTTTCTGCCAAATCATTTTTTAAAAAACTTGGGATGCATTTTGTAATCGGTTGTCACAGCTTAACTGAGACTTTTTCTTCTTCAGCGGCATGTAAAAGGGTGTGGCTTAACACTGATGGCAGATACCCAGAAATATACACTAGTTATCCCAAAACTGGTTATACCCTTCCTTTTCAGTTACCTGCAGGGGGGAAAAAAAAAATTCAGTCCAGTTCTTTACCTTATGCACAGAACATTGTCCAACCAGTCTCTTTTATTGTGTTCAATGAAGCTGAATTCCAAAGCTTTAAAGATCAAATAATTTCAGAATCTGAATTACTGGGTTAGGGACATAGCTCAGTAGTCAAGTGCTTGTCTAGTATTACTGAGGCCCCCTGATCAGTACCAACTACAAACAAAAACCTAAGTTAATTCAGTTACTTGCTAGTATCACAATAACCTTTGTTTTATTGGTGTTTAGATATTCTGTCACACAGATGAAATTACCTTCTATTGAGAGCTTTAGAATTTGATACTTGAAGGGAAATACATTTCCAAAGCTTTGTCTCTAATGCTGTGTCCCTATTTCCTTTTATGGTGATGACATCAGAAGGTTTCTGTACAATGGAGACACTAAAACCTATCCCACAATGCTATTCTTTGAATAGAAAACCATAATGTATGCAAAATGTGGCAGCCAGAAGGCAAGAAAAGGAGCTTCTGCCTTCCTTGGACAGGCAGCATCAAAAGAGAATTCAAACTGGACCTAACATTTCAGATATGCGGTGACTTTCAAAGGCAGAGATTTTTACTTTATACCAACCACGATATACTTTAAAATTTTTAATTTAAATTTTTTTTTCATGTTTATTGCCTGCATGTAGGTAAGTGCATCCATGTCATGCAATGCCTGCAGAGGTCAAAAGAGGCTGTCAGATCCTCTGGGACTGGAGTTACGAACAGTGGTTAGCTGCCATGTGGGTGCTGGGATTCGAACTCAGGTCTTCTGGCAAGAACAGTGTTCTTAAGAACCATCTGAACCATCTCTCTAGCCCCACAATATACTTTTAAATGTAGCTGAAGATTAGCATTTTTGCCAATAGAATACAATCTATACTAATTTACATACAAACTATTTATGTATATTTGTATTCCATCACTTTTAATTTTAGTCCAAACTGTAAAACTAATTATCCTGATCAATACATACCTCTTGATTCAACTTAGCACTTCAAACTACTTGATTGAACTTAGCACTTGCAGTTAGGTTCAGTGTTTCACCTCCCAAACCTGTCATCGGGTCATGTTAAGATCTAAGTCACTGGTAAATGCCATTGGCAGGGGAATCTGGTAACATACCATGAAGATGAAAGTCAAGTCATTCCAAAATCTGTCTTATCTTAGTCTCCACTAAAATAAAAATCTTTATATTTTTGGTGTGTGCTGTTAGGGATCTAACTCAGGGCCTCACACATGATAGGTAAGCACTCTATCACTGAGCATATAGTCCCAGACCCCAAAAATGATCTCAATAGAAGCTAGTTAGTATATATGCCTAAGTCTCTATAAGCTACAAAGGCTAGCCATAGTGAGAATACTTGGACAGTCTTCTTGGTTTCCATACACTCAGCAACTTTCTACGTAATTGATGCAAATGAGCTGAGACCTCTGCAACCATGCTCAGATGCTGTGTGTTTAATGAGCAAATGGCATACAGAACAGACCTATGGTTTGTGAATGAAAGGATTTAGAAGAATCAACTTGAGGGTTGATAGGAAAAATGGGACATTTTAAAAGCTGACTAAAAATACATAAATTTTTTTTTGTGAGAATTAGAGCAGGAGATAGTAAATTATTTCAAAGTCCAAATGGTTTAATTTGTAATTTTGTTTTCAAACTGAAATGATCAAAAATACTAATCCATCAACAAGTATTAATCAAGTACTAACTGTCTTAATTTCAGTGGCAAAAAGGAAAAGACTGGAGAAATGTCTGGCTTTAGAATACACTCTAAGAATTTAAATAAACTTTCAGTTCTTAATGGAAATTTATTATACCAAAGGAAAACTGTCAGTGAAAAACTCCTGAAAATGGAGTTTTATCATGTGACTTACAGTGCACCTGAAGTACTACAGATATTTGCAACCATAAGGATTAAAGGACTCCCTTCTGCAAGTAAATAAATAGCTTTTGTTTCCACAAAGCCGATTATAATTCGGTACCAAAAGTGTGTTAACATAGTGTACACATCTGCTTCACTGAGGAAAATAAACAGAATCAAACCTAAGGGGGTCAATGTGGAATGTATAGCTTAGTTCAACCTCTGTACATGTAAAACAGGATTTCAAATGAATTTTAAAATTGTATGTAAAGTCAGGAGATGACATCGGACATCTCCAAGTTGTAAAAAAACTGTTAATAGGTGAGCACTTCCCAATTTTAAGGATTCAAGATAAAAACCCAGAAAAATGAAAAGTATACACTTAAAACTTCTACCTACGACCTTTAAGAAAAAAACGAAGCCAATACAATAAACGACATGAGTCATTCTGATTTTTAAATCACACATATGGTACCAATCACGAGCAGGCTTCAGCTGACACTTTATGCCCACAGAATAAAATCACACCCTTCCCATTATGTTTTTTCCTTCCCAACTGTTGCTGATGGTTAATGTAGGAAAAGCTACATTTATATAAAAAAGTGAAGTATTTTGAAAAGATGTATTCTTTATTTTTTAAAAGAAACTGATTTCAAGAATTCGACTCTGGTGTACATCAAAGAGTAGGGTTCTGTCATGGTTTTTGGCACATCTTTAAAGTAAAATTACCCAAGTGTCATCTTTGCTACTAAGGTGATACTTTAGTTTAATTCTGCCATATTTAAAAAAAAAAATCTTGATATTTTCATGTAATTGGTACCTGACAGAAAGGTAGACTTCAAGTTACTGTACATTCCTGATACATAGGCACAGCAATTTCATAAATTCTTACTTTTCAAACATGATTTATTCAAAGCTGAACTTTCACTAGCACAGGAAAATAGGTTAAACATAAAATTCATGGGTGTTTTCCTACTTTCTTGTTCTTCTGGTAGCTTCCTTCAGTCTTTGGACATCTTGGATACACTATTTCTATTTAGATGAGAAAAGAATTCAGTAATCTGTAAACATGAACTATCCAGGCCAACAGGGAGAAGGTTGTTAACACCTACCCACCTCACTTTTTGGCTTACCTGAATTTATGCACTACTTCATAAAGACAAAATAAATCAAACTGCTGGGCGTGGTGGCGCACACCTTTAATCCTAGCACTCTGGAGGCAGAGGCAGGTGGATCTCTGTGAGGTCAAGGCCAGCCTGGTCTACATAGTGAGTTCCAGGACAGCTGGGGCTACAGGGAGACCCTGTCTCAAGAAGGTAAAAAAAAAAAAAAAAAAAAAAAAAAAAAAAAAAAAAAAATCAAAGGTCTACCAAGAAATTCCTCACATATATTTCACCAAAGTTTCTGACTGGGTCCCAAGGCTGTTCAGGATGTTTATTTCTATTCAAGATTTATTTTTCTTCTGGTTAATACTGAGAATATATTTTTAACTGACAAGTAAAACGTCTCACTGTGAACTCATTAAACTATTTGTTGACAGCTGAAAAAGGACATTTAAATTTAGTCACACCATTCATGGTATTTGTAAAACCTGAGGGTTTTTTTCTGTATTTTTCAAGTAGAAGAAGAAATTTCACAATTTCAAATCAAAGTCAACACTGCAGTGAGGAGAGCTTTTCTACTTTATTACAAAGAGAAGAAGCCTTTATGTGGTCAGAAAATACAAGATTGATCTTTGTTCTCTTCCTATGAAACGCTGCTGTTCACACAGCCAGAGTGAATTGTCTCAGTTCACATCTGTAAGTCCCATCACATTCACTTGGGTATGGATGTCCTTGGCTGCTGAAATCTGGCCCTTTAGTGCACAGGGCGACAAAGTCCCCTGACCAGCAGTTCCAGAATGTCCCATTTTCATATATTGCATCCATGCACACCTCCTAAAAATGAGGTACAGCAGGGCAAACATTTTCCAAAATAGATGTCATATATATAATATATACACATTCGTACATACATACCTTTATTCATGTGATGTCCAAAAATTTAAAAAAAATGTACACATTTATTACAAAATCGTAACAAAGACTGGACAGTGTTTTGCTCATTCTGGAAAGATGAAGCTCAGTAATAACACAACCCTGGAAACCATCCAGAGATTGTGGCAATATCTTTCTCTAAACAGTCAGATATTCTTGCATTAAGCTCGGTGAAACTGCCTTTCAAAAACAGAAGGGGAAGTAAAATGAAAGAAGCAGACCTTGCTCATCTTTCCAAGTGAAATACGAGAAGGATCTTCACATAAAAATGCACAAACATTTGTTATTTTATTACCAATAGTGCTATAATGAATGATGCAAATTTTGTGGTCTAATTTTGTTGAGCCTTCTGTGGGTTTTCTTTTTTACATTTAAGAAACTAAATGGTAAACTTCTGTCAGTGTACTTGCTTGTTTTTACAGACCCAAGTCTGTCTGCTGGCAAAAAGAAAATGAAAAAATTCAGATCCGGCTCAAACTAGAGAAAACAAATTATAAATTTAGTTGTTGGGCAGCACATAATTAGTAAGGCAGGACCTCAAATGGTGACCCTTTGCGTAAGCCAATTGCCAGATCCTCAAGGAATTAAAACCAGGGTGCCTGAGCCACATCAGTTCTGCAGTTATGTTGAGTATTGTGCTGAGACAGCCATACCCCAAGAAAAGGGAAGTCTTTTTTAGAAGGCTTGCTGAGCAGGGTTGTAATTGAAGGTGGATGGCAGGTGAGGCCGTTCTTCTAACTTGTCATATTCCAGATGGAACTCCTACAAAAAAAAAAAAAAAAAAAAAAAAGGAATTTAAATGATTTCATCTCTATTTTTTCTAAAACATTAATTATTATGTGGATGTGCAGGTGTCACAGTATGGTAATGAGAGAACAGCTTGCAGGAGTGGGGGATTCTCCTTCCACCACTGGGGTTCTAGGGATCAGATTCTGGTTGTCAGTCTCCTTGGCAAGTGCCTTTACTAGTAAGCCACCTTGCTTATTCCAATTTCATCTCTGTTGAATTATTTCTTTGCCAAACTATATTTATTGTATGAACCATTACAATTATTCTGAGTGAATATACAGACTTAGATAGCCTGTTCCCTTTTAAGTAAAATACAGTTTGAACAAAAGTAATGTACTGTACTGTCTAGTAAGTACAAAAGTATAGACTTTCAGCTGGGAATAGTGGCGCATGCCTTTAATCCCAACACTTGGGAGGCAGAGACAGGCGGATCTCTGTGAGTTTAAGGTGAGCCTGGTCTACATAGTGAGTTCCAGGCCAGCTGGGGCTGCAAGGAGACCCTGTCTCTAAAAGACCACAAAAGTACAGCCTTTCTGCATGTTAAATCAGACTAATTCAGAATGTATATTTATGGAAATTCTGTGCACTCTTTTCACTTAAATAGAGAAATTATGATAGCTCTAATGCAAATCAGAAGTGTAGGATATTTAAAATAAAGCCCATTTTAATGAAGTACTAAAACCTAAAAATTGACCTTTTAGTCATGAGAAGTTTAAAATGAAGCACTCTCCCATTTACCTTGATCACAATATTTTTAAAAGGCAAGGTTATTCTATAATCTCACTAAAATCTGACAAAAACAATGAAACAAATGCAAAACTCTTGACTTAAAGAAAGATCATTTAACTACCATTTAATACCCAGACAGTAGTTTTGGTATAAGCATATCTGAAGACTAACTGGATTATAAATCAAAATTTCAAAATATTACAGTAACTATGTTTTTGCTTATATTTAAAAATAAACATTCTATTCGTTCAAGGTGCACAGGTAGAGATCAGAGGATTACCTTCAGGGATTGGTTTTCTGTTTTAACCATTTGTATCTTGGGGACTGAACTTAGGGTCATCAAGCTTGTTGGCAAACACCTTTACCCACTGTTACCCCACCCTCTTTTTTCTTAAAACAAGGTCTTGCTATGCTTAGGCTGGCCTTGAATTCACTATATTGCCCAGGCTGGCCTCAAACTCACAATCCTGCCCAGCCTCTGGAATACTGTGTTTACAGGTTTGTACCACCACTTGGTTACCTAAGTTTTAAAATTTAAGAATGATACCTTCACAAGATCAAGAACATAAACATAAAATAACTGTATACTTAAAAAGCCAACAAAATGCTCTGTAATTACAAAAAAGAATGCTCCAAAATTATCAATTCTATAACTGGAATCTAACTAGCACAAATTATTTCACAATCCCACTTTATAAAATTATGAGTCTCAGTGCGAGTTTATCCACTGAGAGAGAACTTGAACTGAGGGACATTTGGGGACACTACCTTGACTTGATAAGCCTTAACATCGATGACAGAATACATGAAATCCTGTGGGGGGGTTGGGGGGAAAGGACTATGGGAGGGTGCCAGTGGGGAAGGGGGTATAAAGATGATTTAAGATGTTCTGTATGAAATAGAAATTCAATAAAAAATTCTGAACTCAATATGCATAATCTATTGAATATTCAACTAACGAGTAACATTAGCAACCATGGGCTATCACATCTTACCTTGCGTCTGGCATCAAACTGACTCTATAATGGATGTTTCTGTCATCAAATTAAATGAATATTTCCATTATTGAATTAAAATGAAAACCCTAGGCCTCTGTGACCAAACTTTCAGCCAACAAACCAAGTATTTAAAATTGAAGATATCACATTAACAATTAGATATATGAGGTATAATTTGATACCTTGGTATGAACCAAAACTAAAGATAAAGCTAATTTTATTCTAGCATTAAAAAAAATTCTATTCTTTATATGCATCTTATGAAGTAGGCATTTTTATTTTGCACAAGAGAAAACGGGGCTCACAGGCAACTTACGTTCTTCAACAGTGGCACACTAATGACTAGTATCCAAACCTAGCAGGGTCTCTCTTTTCTAGTATAACACATAGTGGGTTCTTTATTTTTTACGTACTTTTTTATTTATTTATTTATTTTGGTCTTTTTGAGACAGGGTCTCCCTGTAGCCCCAGCTGTCCTGGAACCACTATGTAGTCCAGGCTGGCCTTGAACTCACAGAGATCCGCCTGCCTCTGCCTCCAGAGTGCTGGGATTAAAGGTGTGCACCACCACACCCGGCTTATTTTTTACGTACTTTTAACCCAGGACACAAAATAAATTTACCTCACCTAATCCGAAAATAATTTTGAAAAATTAAGTGCCTTGATAAAAGTATATAAAGGCATACTCTGGCAACTAAGCACAAGGGTTATATGCTTACAGGCATCAGAATCACCATCCCAATCATTGCACTTCCCCTGCTATACTAGACAGCTGCCACTGCCCCTTCACTACTCATGACTGGGAATTAAAATCATTTTATTATTTGGCTGAAGTAGAATTTTCAAATTAACAAAAATCTTCCCCTTAAAATAAACTTTTGAAATCAAAATGGCATCTTAAGTTTCTACAGAAAGCCTACCTGTAATTTTGATAAATGACCAACTCCAGCATTTTATTCGTTGGCAAACTATACCGTATTATTAGAACTTAAACTAGAATAAATTCATCAATATATATATTTGCCTCTACATATTATTTAAAAATCAGCTTAAATCTATGGGACAAAAATACCTTCATAATTAAAAAAATCTTCAATTGTTATTAAAAATTAGATCAAATCTTGTTTTCCACTGATAATTTAATCTTCTACCTTCTCTATATTTTTGTTTTTCTTAAAAACTTAAAAAAAAACCATCACTGGTATCTTTGTTTCCTAACTACATTTAATCTGATTATCAATAACATCTCTTTTACATGTTGATGTTTTACATATATATACACACATTATACATTATACCTTTAACAGAATGTAAGAGCATGAAGTAAGATTTGTCTACCACACCTAATGCTTAGAATAGCGCAAGATCCTTAACCAAAGTATAATTAACAACTCATGAATTAATAAAAAACAAGCTTTATTTGCTTTAGAAACAGAACTTAAGTTTTTCAAGTATATTTTAAAATTATGAACTAAAAGGTCTATGCACATATTTGTCTCTAATGAAAAATGTTTAGATTCCAGTATAATGATTTTTTTAAAAAAAAAGGGCTAGAAAGAGTTCCAGATACTTGCAAAGCAACATTTTCATAACCCAATTTTCCTATTAAATAAATTGGGATGTATATTCTCAAAAAATTACCTAAACAAGATCGAACTTACACAATGGATTCAGATAAATTAGTATTCACAACAGTAATGCCATTGCTGAACTAATTACAGAAAGTATCAGTTTCTCTTAACTACAATAAATTTATACTTAAACTTTAGGAAAAGCAAGCTAATAATAGTTATTAGAAAGATTTTGAAATAATTTTTAAGGAAAACTATGTATAGTTAATGTATAATGATGTACTGATATGTACCAGTAAAATTAATGAAAATAATCACATTTATATCAAGCATTAAAAAAAACTTAGCCTTAGAAATCCTCTTACACCTAGAAGGTGACATTAAGCTAAAAGAATGCTGAAACTTGAAGCTGTTAACTTGAGAAAGCTAGAGATAACAGGAAAGGCTCCACCACTTAAAATTTAACAGGGGAGGGGCTGGAGAGATGGCTCAGCGGTTAAGAGCACTGACTGCTCTTGCAGAGGACCTGGGTTCAATACCCAGCACCCGCATGGTGTCTAGGAACCATCCTCATACATGCAAGCAATACACTCATACACATAAAATAAAAATAATAAAAAAAAATAAAAAAAATTAACGGGAATAAATTACTTTATTCTTAAGTTAATGGGATATGTGAACTCTATCAAAATCACTTAGGACACTATGCCTTATCTTGAAAGAATAATCAAATAAAACATCAAACTTTCTATTTTTTTTTTTTTTTTTTGCAACAGGGTCTCCCTGTAGCCCCAGCTGGCCTGGAACTTGTTATTTATAGCAGGCTGGTCTTGAACTCACAGAGATCTGCCTGCCTCTGCTTCCTGTGTGCTGGGATTAAAAGCAAGTGCCACCATGCCCAGCAGAACGTCAAAGTTTTATGTGTTGTATTAACCGATAGGAAATTCTAGACGTAAATAATGGATTGAACCCTAGAACTCAGGGTCATAACTTTCTTATGGAATAAATACTTCTGACTTAAATAATCTATTGAGCAATTTCTTACTTAGCATTATAATTCCCTGAAAATATTAAGTGACTGGAAAGATTCATACAATATACTGTGAACACATAATAGATTACCATCTAGATTTGTTCAGTACCTTATAATGACATAAACATTGCACTATTATTTATCAAACGAATTCATACTACAGCCTTCTTACAATGTGGGAAGTTATTTAGTATTAATTTATGAACAGTAAATTCCACTTCCTTTGTATACTGTCAAGTAAACAAGACATGACAGATAATGAATATTCTATAGTTTTAATGAAATTTGTTAATAAGAACTAAAATATCTTAATAAACAAGCAATTTTCTGGGAAAGCACTGATTACATCCTTAAATGGTCATTATAAAGTTGTATTCTATGAATATGATACAATTTAAAATTTTTAAGTTCATGAATTTGTATTTCAGCATAAGCAGTTTTAAAGTTAGTCATTAATACCTAGTAGAAACCAACAATTCTGATTGGTTTCCATCATTATGAAAATAATTGTGAAGAGTACCAGTACAAGTGGCCATCATACTATTTGGAGAGATTTCTTAAAAATAATTCAATATTACTTGTGAAGTTTAATTTTCCCAAGACTCAGCAAATCTTTTTAGGAAGTGAAGACAGGAGCTGGAGAGATAGCTCAGGAGATAAGAGCACTGGCTGCTCTTCAGAGGGCTCAGGTTCAGTACCACATTGCAGCTAGTAACCGTAACTCCAGTTCCAAGGAAACCAGCACCTCCTTCTGGCCTCCCTGGGCATTGTATAACATGGATGCACTTACATTCAGGAAAAACACCATATACATAAAATGAAAATAAGTAGATTTAAAAGAAATCTAAAGAGAAGTGATGACAGATATTCAACTATACTAGGAAATGGGTAAAATTAAGCAAACTAATAAATGCATTATATATAAAAGTTTCTTTAAAATAGTATTTACCTACATTGGGAATTGCTTCTGTGGGAAAGTAAGAAAGCTGAATATTGTTTCTGAATATTCTATATTATGAAGAGAATGTAACTCAAAGCGTGATTTTCTCATTTCAGTTATTTCCTAACTCATGTATAGCTGTAATTACATAGCTATCTAGTGCTTAAATGTATTCCATTTTGCAAGTGTTTGGAATTTAAAATATTGAACAGCTTCCCTGAAAGAAGAAACCTTCAGTTATTTACTGATACAATGTTTTTCCTTGAAAGACTTTTTCTTTCCTATGGCATCATCTAACTTGGAAGTTTGGCCCTGGACTAGGCCCAACATCAATTCTGGAATAACTTGGGAGCTTGTTGGAAGTACAAATTCTCTGTCTATGCCCACAGACTTGACTAGATTAGAAACAGTAGAGGTATGGCTCAGTAATTTGTTTTAACAAGTTTCTCAGGTAATTTGTTTTTATAAACTAATGTTGGAGAACACAGACTTAACTAACAATCAGTAAGTTACAAACATTCCATGTTTGGAAGAAATAGCATTAAATTATGATAATGATGATGGTAGGAAAAACAAAACTACCAGGACTACTAACACATACATATCCAACATATGCCAAATACTGTACACACAGGGTATGTGCATATATGTCATTTCATTTAATCTTCATGATACCTATTTTGCAAAAAAGGAAACAGACATGAAAAAGAAATCTGCATAAGATCTAAGCATACATATCAGAAAGAGGAGTTAAATTCAAATCCAGAAAGACAGGCTATGGCTTATCTCTTTAAGGAGCAGATAAAATACAGAACACTCTTACTATTTTATATTATCTAAGTACTTCCATTTAAAATGTTAAGTCAAGGATATACTCTTTGATACCAAGATATTTATGTTAATTATAACTGTTGAAATAACCAATACAATCTAAGAAAATAAATCAAAGTGGTAATCTCATGTATCACCAAGAAACTTATAAAAACACATTTAAAAAATATTTTATTATTTTTATTTTATGTGTATGAGTGAATTGCCTGCATGTATGTGAGTGCACCCGTGTTGTGTAATGCTGCAGAGGTCAGAAGAGGGCTTTGGATTCCCTTGGAACTGGAGTTAAGGACGGTTCGCAGCCACCATGTGGGTGCTGGAAATTGAACCCAGGTCCGCTGCAAGAGCAGTCAGTGCTCTTTACCACTGAGCCAATTTTTTTAACTTCTGTTTTTTCACTGGGCTTATCTTTTTCTATTTCCTTAAGCTTTTAAAGAATTCTTGGGATGTCAAACTTTCCTATGATTTGTATCTGGTGGCATTTACACTATCTTCTTAAAATGTAAAACTTTTTATCAGCTTAGTCAAGGCCTATTCAAAAAATAACACCAAAACAACAAACTAAAATATGCCCAAAGAACTAACTTATCAGAAACCTTTTTTTCTGTTTAAATTTACATAAAACTAATTCATGATTTGACAATACTATGAATCAATGATGGGAACTATACTCAAGGGAAATATTGGAATTCTATGAAACTAACCGTGGGTCATAATCACCACAAGGTGGACTAAGTAAAACACAAGGTACTAGACACAGATGTAAAAGATTCACTGACAGAGAAATTTTACAGCAATGGAAAAGGTGTGATTTTTGTAGAAAAGATTATTTTGTGAGGTAAAGTTGCAAAACAAAAATAAAACAAAAAAGTTAACTTCCCCCCAGCCTATTTTTCCTATTTTCACAGCAGTCAGAGGTACACTCAATGGCGAATGCTTGCAATTTTTCCCCATTAAATGATTTGCAAATAAATACTCAGTGATCTTTCCAGAGAAATGTAAAGAGCCTTTTATAAATTTTCAGGAAAACAAAACAAAACATCTCACCTTGTTAAGTTTAACAAGATGAACTATATGACTGGGATTTTAAGGGAATATCTTTATTTTATAATTTGGTACTCAAAAAATTTTCAAATGTTAAAGTCTTAAGCAAAATCATAAAATATCTCTTACCAAGTTTAATTGTTTTCCTACTAGCGAAATAAAGTGTTTTTGGACACTTTAACAGAGGTAAAATGAAGCCAAGAAGTTAGAGGCTTGGCAAAGATCTGACACAATACTGGAACATATGTATTGTCACATATTAATAAACAAAGGACACTTTTTGAAAAGTCTAGATTCATACATTTTGCACATGAAAAAAAGTATACCTTAGCTACTTTCCTCCAGTTAAGACAGTCAAAGAAGTAGTACGTCCCCCTCTCGTAAGTATTGGTTTTCATTGTCGGCTCCATGCCTGGCGCCCTGGTGATCCATACTCGCTCTTCTTTGTGGTATCTCCAGTCACGGTTAAAACTTCAATTTTTAAAAGACAAAGAGGTTTAATTTCCCTATGGCTCATGTCGAACATTGTGTTGCAAAACTTTTCTTAGAAAAACTGTATCTGAAATATGTATGGAGGCTTCTTAATCTGTTATTGAATATAACCTTATTCAAATACAGTGAGAAAATTTCTTTAATACACATGCATTTATTAAGCTGAAGAAACTTTTTATGTAGGCAAATATTTTAAAAGTTGTGTGAGTAATAGGATAAAACCTGGGCAGATCAAAGAATGATACAATATGTTCTAGAAACTTTCTTCCTTGCTCTATTGAGTAATCAACAGATACTGGGATAGTAATTAAAACGACAATTCAAATATGTGTATTATTTGTTTTTAAGTACAAAGTCAATTTGAATTGACTATTTAAATTCACATGGTTTTATAGCTATGATGAAAATAATTTTTTAAAATTCAAGTCATACAGTCATACTGTTCCCAAACTCTCAAAAACTGAAAGGATGCCATTAGAACCCAAGCCGAGGATTTATACATTACACTTATACACTGGGGTAGTAACATCCAAAAAAAGTAAATGTCCCACAAAAATCAACCTTCATGTAATTAAAATGCTTTCCTACAAACACAGTGCAGTAGTTTTCAGACACAAATGAGAGATGAGACAAAAAGCCAATTACAGATGGATGAGTGATTGGATAAATTTTATATGTGTGTGTGTGTGTGTGACTAAATTAAAAGGAACAGGTGTTAATCCTCACTTTACAAAAATGAGGGAGGGGGCTGGAGAGATGGCTCAGCAGTTAAGAGCACTGACTGCTCTTGCAGAGGACCTGGGTTCGATCCCCAGCACCCACATGGTGGCTACGAACCGTCCTTAACTCCAGTTCCAGGGGGAATCCGAAGCGCTCTTCTGACCTCCAAGGCACTGCACGACATGGGTGCATTCACATACATGCAGGCAATACACTCATACACATAAAATAAAAATAAAAATTTTTTAAAAAACAAAAATGAGGGAGAAATGGGGGAAAATAAATTCTCTCTTCTGAAAAATAAGAGACAATTTATTTTCAACACAAACACACTGTCTTTTGTCTACATAATAATCAACAGACATTTATTAAATGGTTAAATTCACTATCTAATCATTAAAATTTATTGTTCTACAAAGAGTAACAAGCACAACCATGAGTTCTATTTTATAATTCATATTTTAGAAAATTTCAATAGAAAATTTCAATTCCGCTGGGTGTGGTGGCACAGGCCTTTAATCCCAGCACTCAGGAGGCAGGGGCAGGCGGATCTCTGAGATGGAGGCCAGCCTGGTCTATACAGCCAGCTCCAGGCCAGCTGAGGCTACAGAGAGAGCCTGTCTCAAAAATGACATCTAAATAGTGATGACAAAGCCGTAATATATGCTTTCCATGTCAAATTTATTTTACTAAATATAAAAATAATTTAAATTCTTTTCTTTATAATAATAATTATGGGTGTATATGTATGTGTGTTTTTGTTGTTTTGTTTTGGTGAATGAACGTAGATGTAGTACATGCTAGGCAAATACTCTACTACTGGGCTACATTTCCCAGTCAATGACTTAAAATTTCTTTGAAGATCTTCATTCAAAAAAATCTACAGCCATCATCTTTTCAAAAAAACCTACAGCCATCATCTTTAGAAAACAGAAAAGTATTCAGATTATTCAAGATATGCTAGAATAAAAAGTGATAAAATACTTAGAACATACAGCTCTACTGCAGCTAAAAGTTGTAATACATCTCCGCCATTCATGTAATAGAGATAGAAGAGAAGGTCTTCTCCATATCGGCCAAGTTTTATTGCAGCCAGCTATAAAAGAAAATGAATTATTCTGAAATGTATAACAGAATTGCTACCACTATAGTAAAAATGAACGATAAAAACATTTCAGTTTAGAAAAGATAATTGCTGTTACATAGTTATACAGATAGGTGGATATAATTCTAAAGAAGGTTCTTCATTTAAATGACTAAGATTATCTAACAATTCCTAGTACTTTTTTGACGTACTAATTGAGAAAATAAATAAAATCTTCTAAATAAAACCAAATGTTTATCATCTCGCTCCAAGGACATAACAACATGCTCAGAGACTTAGGACTGTATTCAAGTCCTAATCTTGTTGCTTACTAATACTATCAGGCCCAAGTTATTTAACATTCATCAAGTATTCTGTAAGATGTAGACAATAACAGGTATGAGAGTTACTAAAAAAGTAACTGAAATAAAATGAATGACGGAATATGCAAGGATCCTGTGGAGTGCCAGAGACACAGTTTTCTAAGTGTGAGCTGAACATATATCCATAACCATTCACAAACTGACTTACAGTGTCAAGCCTATCACAGGTGGTAAGTATAAAAATCATGGGCACAGCTCTTTAAATGGATCCCTGAGAGATAACATCTTCACATTTGCCTCTACAAGGTAGAAAACTTGCCAGACTATAAACTATGGATGAACACAGTAATCTCAAATTCTCACATTAAAAGAAACCTTGAAAGTACTCCAAACAAAAATACTTACCTGAGGCTTTACCTAAATGTTCATTTGACTTTTACACATAATCTGATCACCATTTTTCCCTCCATTTACTTTCCCACCCCATTCAAGTGCCAGTTGCCATTTTAAGATATTCTCCAGTATTTCTCAAATTGGTCTATGAAAAGGTTCTGGAATACTCAGGTAACTGGAGCCCAAGAATTCTACAGTAGTGATGGCAGCAAACCACAGAATCCACAAATGGAAAACACTAGTCCTTGATGTTAGATTGTTATTCCTGCTTTCCATCTATTCAGCTCATACACAGAAAACTGGGTTTGCCCATACATAGTATTAATGCAATCATATAACCCCTGCTCCGAATATTGTTTATTTATGTATATATCCACATTTACATAAATATATTTTTAACTTAATTTAGATTCTATTGGGGCTGGAGAGATGGCTCAGTGGTTAAGAGCACTGACTGCTCTTGCAGAGGACCCGGATTCGATTCCCAGCAACCACACGGCAGCTGCAAACCGTCCTTAACTCCAGTTCCAAGGGAATCCGAAGCCCTCTTCTGAGCTCCGCAGCACTGCACGACACGGATGCACTCACATACATGCAGGCAATACACTCATACACATAATATAAAAATGAATAAAACATTTTTTAAAAAAATTTAAATTCTATTATATAATCTTTTCTAACAAACTTTGTTTTCCCTAAAGCAAGATTCATTTGCCATTTCTTTTCTTAAAGAGAGATTAAAGCTGTAATCTAGTAATGATTACTGTGTTACTAGAATTGTAGGCACTTAAAACAGTGAAAAGGATAAAAGACAAAGTGTCCAGGTCATAGCTTTAAAAAAATGTGTGTGAAGTCCCATTAAAAACATTTTGTCATGGTTACAGAGTTATTAATTATGGGAAATATTTGATCAGTCCTAATATTGTTTGGTTTAAAAAATATGAGTTTAAATATCATCAAAACACTATAAACAAAAATAGAAATAAAATTCTTATACGTAACCCAATGGTTATAAAAAGTGTATCCCTGAGATCACTGCTAAAACTTTATGCTGTCTGAACTGAAAATGGTACCTGGAAAGCAGCTAAAGTTCACGGTGACTCAACAGAATAATAAACTACACTCACCTTATCCCTAATGTGAATGTTCGTTAAGTACTCAGACGGAACATGGAAGTCTGCACAATAAAATGAAAAAGGCCTTATTAATAGATTCTCAGAAAACATCTTTTAAAAAAAATTGAACACAAATAGACTCTCCTACCTATGTCTTGAGGTCGACAAGGTGAAGATGCCCAGGGTGATGCAAATTTAGGGTAGAGATTTCTGAAAAAGAGGTAAAAAAAGAAGCCACTTTAAAGAACAAAGTAGAAAAATAGTTTCTAATTTAATTTTAGGAAAACAAGTAAAAACAGACTTCAAATGCAAAATGAGCATCCAGAGTTCCCCTTCCTGGGTATACTATGACTTTAAGCAGAAAAAGTAGAACAAGATTGCTTCCTTCAGTGTTCCATCAATGCACTATAGAGATGACAGTATATTAAATATATGAGGTACACAATTTAAATGTTCTACTCAACTAAGAATGCTTCAAATTCATCAACACATGGCCCTTCAATTAAATTATTTTCCCATGAACACTGTTCCCAGTAGTTATTAGGAGTAAAATTTCATATTCACCAAATATTACTTTGAGTGCTTATTATACGATCTAGAGCAGATTTTCTGGGTACTTCAAATACAGTAAGTGAACAAAACAAAGATTGCTAACAACATAAAACTTACTTTCTGTTTAACTATATGACAGACAAAGGACAAGGAATTAGCATAATAGATAATTTGTTCAGGGTGGATTGGAGAGGTGAGATTGGGTGCATACTTAAACAGGGTGCTGAGTTTAAGTAAGATTTTGACAATATCAAACTTAAAGATTCAAGGGTAAGAGAATGATAATCATTCAAAAAGGATTATCTGAGCACCACAGAAGTTGTACAGAAGGGGGCAAGGAGAAAACAAAGGACACCTAGTTGGTTGACTAATAGAATATTTTTAAAAATATTTTATTTATTATTTTTATTTTATGTGTATGAGGGTATTGCTTGCATGTATGTGAGTGCAATGCCACTCAGTCAGAAGAGGGCTTTGGATTCCCCTGGAAATGGAGTTAAGGACAATTCGTAGCCGCCATGTGGGTGCTGGGAATTGCAAGAGCAGTCAGTCAGTGCACTTAACCACTGAGCCAACTCTCCAGCCCCTGACTAATAGAATATTAAGGCAATAAATCAGAGTGGTAGTAATTTAAATGAGTGAGAATGTGATTTGATTCTGTATACATTTTAGAAGACTGCACATGAGGTAGGAAAAGGAGGAGAGAATTATGGGAGATGTCACGCTTCTCTAAGCATTGTCTAAGACTTAAAAAGGGTAGACAGTGTATGTTTGGGCAAGATTATTCAAGAGATATTTAACTGTCAATGAGATCAATGAGATCTGAAAAATCTCAAGCTAAGGAGAGAATTCTGGAAGTCATTTGATGACCTTGCTGAGCATTGTTTTGTGGAGTGGAAGAGGCAAAACTCAAATTATAATAACTTTAACAGAATGGTTCTTTTGAAATGTTCTGCTTCAAAATGGATTAAAAAAAAAAACAGGACATTAACTCATAGGAAGTTGTATCAAGAGAAAGCATCTGTATAAGATAGGAAAAATAACAGTGCATTTGTACGCTACTGGAAATGACACAGTAGAATGTATACATTCTTTTTATTTTTTATGTGTATGTGTGTACTGCCTGCATGCAGATAAGTGCACCCGTGTCGTGCAATGCCCGCGGAGGACAGAAGAGGCTGTCAGATCCCCTGGAACTGGAGTTACAGACAGCTGTTAGCTGCCATATGGGTGTTGGGATTCAAACCTGGGTTTTCTGCAAGAACAGCCAGTGTTCTTATCTGCTGAGCCATCTCTCCAGCCCTAGAATGCATACATTCTTAAAGAGTTGGATGGATGAGTGCACATGCCTGTAATACCAGCACTTAAGCAGATACAGGAGGATTTAATGAGCCAACCTGAAAAATACCAGCAAGATCATGTCTCAAAAAGACCAAGGCCTAGGGGCTGGAGAAATGGCAGAGCAGTTAAAAGCACTGGCTGCTCTTCCAGAGGACCTGGGTTCGGTTCCCAGCACCACAAAGTGGCTAACAACTATCTGTTAACTCCAGTTCCAAGGGATATGACACCCTGTTTTGGCCTCAATGGGCACTGCATGGGATGGGTACACTTACATACATACAAGCAATACATACACATAAAAAATAAAAATAAAAACAAAACCCAAGGACTGGGGATGCAACTCAGTGTAGGGTGCTTGCCTTTTATGTGCTAAACAGATTTTATGCCAGTCTTAGCAGGAGAAAAGTTAAGAGTCATACTCTTGAGTTTTTAAAGAAATTTTAAGTAGAAATCATGGTAAGAGTTAAGTTAGATTCAGATGGTGGTCATTAGATTGAGTGGAAGGAATGGGCTGGGCTGATGTTCTATTTGCTTGCTCCTTTCTTAGTAAAACAGAAATAAAAACTGGGTCATTATCTGAGAGTCAAGAGCAGGAGGAAAAGGTATTAATGGCTTGGAAGAAATTTATAATAATTACACATAAGGCCAACAACAACAAAAAAACTGAATGGACTATGCATATTGGATATGATTATGCAAGTAAAAGTAAGGACTCCAAAACTTTGAAGTTCCTCACCATGAATATGAAGCAAGGCTAGATAATGAAGTTGTATGCTTTTCTGTAGCCAAATTCATTAGGCACGACAGGAATGATAGAACACGGGTCACAGATTTTAAGATCTGTAAGTATGAAGTTATATAAATGAATAATTATGACTGATCGTAAGATTTAATGGGTGAGAATAAAGTGAGTTCATTAAAGAGGAAGACAGATAGGAATACTAAGGAATAGATGAAAAGTTCCAATGGAATGGAATGATTATAAAAGTCACAGCACTAAGAGGGAGCAAAACGGAAAATGGCGGTTAGAAAGCAGAGAAACAAGGAGCTGAAATCAGAGAGACTACACTTCCTAATAATGATAAAATCAATGAGAAGACTGAAGGTGTGGTTTGAGGCCAGATCCACATTCTTAGAGAATAGTATGTCTTGGTGATAGTGATCTATGGGCTAATAGAAGAAGGAATGACCTGAAGAGTAAGAAGACAAGAGCAAGAGGCAGTAGAGGACAGAATTTGATGATATGAGATTAAAAGCTACAAGTCTGAGGCTGGCCAGGGTGGCACAGGACTACACTGTTGGCACAGGACTATGCTGTTGGCACAGGCTACTTTGTCTTTCTAATGAAAAAAGGAAAAAGTAACAGTTTGAGAATCCATGGATACTACAAGTGTTAAATAGAAACTTGGAGGAAGAAACTTACTCAGGAGAGTTCAGATTGAGGCCTAATGTTGTTAAGTCACTTCCTAAAGCAAGATGTACCATTCCTGGGTCTGTCTCTGCTGCCCTGATAAATGTTAACAGGCCAATCATTCCAAATTGGTCCGTCACCATCCCTTGAGGAATGTTAGTAACTCGACCTGGTTAAGAAAAACAGAGTTATTCTTATTTTGAAGAACGGAAGGGAAAATGTACTTTATAATAACTGATATATTTAGAGTCCCACCATCAGGTAACACCTGGATCCCTTTTTTCTGCTGATTATTATTTTGTGTTGTTGAACTTTTATCTCCAGGAAATTTAGGTCCATCTGTACTTGAAGTTGTTTTGCCAGATGTACTCAAATTCTAGTATAAAAAAATTAAATATGGCATTAAAACATAAATATAAAACATAAATTCTAATTTATCAATACCTTGCTATTCATTTTTACTATACTTAAACGGGTAGTAATTACCTGTTTTTTCAAGTTTTATATGAAAATTCAGTTTCCATAATTGTTTCATGGTAACCAAATAAGATTCTGTAGAGTCTACATTTGAGTATTTAAACAAGAAATCTAGAAAAAAATATTCTTCATCTCAGCTCTTAAATCATAGAGAAAAAAAAACACATGAAACTATCTTTCTCTTTCTCAGGGTTTTGTGCTTTGGGACACACTTCAAGACTTCTTTATAAAAGAGTAATTACACACATTGCATTAAAGTATCACCAAAGCAACCTTCAAGGTATACTAGGAATGTACAAACTTTTAAAATTCATACTCAATTCTTACTCAACAATCTCTCTTTACCATTTACTCGTAATAATATATAAACTCCCATTATACATACAAAAAAAGCTACGTGCAGTGAATTGTAGAAGAAATAAACACATTTGTTAAGTTAGAAAGAAGCTGAGTTGGCTGAATCAACACAGGTATCAAATGTGTATAAAGATTCTTCAAGGAGAAAACTTACTCAAGAAAAACACAGCTCCTTAGAAGGCTATATTATCAAACTTCATGGGATCCAGCTGACAGGGACTACAATAAAAGTCTAAATTAACTCTGAGAAGTTCAACAGAAATTTGCAAACCTATATGAAATAGGAAAAAAATAGGCTATCTTCTACGTTATAAAGCTTTTCCACATTCTTCAGAAGTTAGATTATCATACATTATTCAAAATAAATAGTTCTTTAATAATACTTAGGAACAGTTAATATAAATCTGAAGGGAAGAAAACTATACCACTCACAAATAAAGAGCCTCAGCTACTTACAGATTTACTGTCATCATTACTTGACGTTGGATCTTTATAGCTGGAACCAGGTAATGCTGGAAAATCTTCATTGTGTATTGAGAAGTCCTGGGATTGTTCATTTGCTGGTTTTGTTACCATTCCAACTAGGTAATGAAAATAATCCAGAAAATTATAATTAAATCTATGGTATTTTGTTGCACATTATAAAAAAAGTTAACTTTCCTCATGATAATATACCAAAAGGCTTTGTATAATGTGAAATAATTCAAAATTAGTATTAAGGATAATAATAGAGAACTAACTTTTAATTTATTGTTGAATAAGTCAACACACAAAGCAATCCTGTAATTCTAATCTAATGTCATATGTAAGTGCTTAAAATAGGATTTGATATGGTAATAGCAAAAATTTTGCTTTAAAGATCACACTAGATGTAATCATTACCAGTTAGCTGTCAAACAAAAATGAACACAATAAAACTTAATTGAAAAGAATATGTCATTATTCTACTGGAAAGTGACTTACAGAGTGAGCAAATTGCAATCAATTATAAAACAATTCCACTTTATTTCTCATTTTCTTGGACTCCATGTATAGATGTAAAACATGCAAGAACTGGGAAATAATTCTCCCACTATACTTGGCATTAGTCGGGCCCTCATTGGAGAACAATATCCAGTTTGGGGCTCCACAATTCAAGAACGAAATGGAGAAACTAGAGATGGTCCAAGGAGAGCAACGAGAATGATTAAAGGATGAAAAAAAGGACCTATGAGGAAAGGTTAAAAACATTAGAGTCTGAACTGAGAACCAAGTAGCTAGGTACTCAACTTCCGGGGCAGATGACTTTTTATTTTTTGGAAAACCAACTTGGAAACTTTAGAATATGAGCAATCAAAATTTCTCTTTATGTATTTTTATTTATATCAGAAAGGACAGAAATTGAAAATACTGGTTGATAACGGAGAACATATTAGTTCTACTTTAACTGATGAAATAACCATCTAAGTGCTGTCATACCAGGCTCTACCAGATCTCCCCAAGAAAGAAAAATTGTGATTTAAAAAACAGTATGGCTACTTTGTCTAAATCACTATTGTTATCACATATGGTCCTCTCCTCTCCAACATTTTTATTCAGGCTCAACCAACCAAATCTCTTTATTAGAAGACAGTGAAAAAGAGTGATGAAGGATATTAATGATGGACAAGAATCTGAAAAACAATACAAATCTATAAGCATTGCTTCTCAATGAGTAGTTTCTTCTTCAAGGGGTTATTGATCAATGTCTGTAAATGTGTGTGGCACAACAGGGGGCAGACTAGATGGTGCTAGAACACAGTAGGCCAAAGCTAGGAATATTGCTACTCTATATAAACAAGATTAGCCCCATCCCCAAGTCCCTTTTCTACAAAGAATTATTCAGCTTCCATGCCCGTAGAGTGAATGGAGAGAAACTCTAGCATAAAGAAACGCCTCAATGCATAGTCATTTTAATCACCAAGGATGTATTTGGTTTTTTTTTTTTTTTTTTTTTTTTGTCTTTTTGGGACAGTGTCTCCCTGTAGCCCCAGCTGTCCTGGAACTCACTATGTAGACCAGGCTGGCCTTGAACTCATAAAGATCTGCCTGCCTCTGCCTCCTGAGTGCTGGGCTTAAAGGCGTGCCCCACCATGCCCGGCAAATGTCAATTTTTTTTTTTTTTTTTTTGTCTTTTTGGGACAGTGTCTCCCTGTAGCCCCAGCTGTCCTGGAACTCACTATGTAGACCAGGCTGGCCTTGAACTCATAAAGATCTGCCTGCCTCTGCCTCCTGAGTGCTGGGCTTAAAGGCGTGCCCCACCATGCCCGGCAAATGTCAATTTTTTTTTTTTTTTTTTTGTCTTTTTGGGACAGTGTCTCCCTGTAGCCCCAGCTGTCCTGGAACTCACTATGTAGACCAGGCTGGCCTTGAACTCATAAAGATCTGCCTGCCTCTGCCTCCTGAGTGCTGGGCTTAAAGGCGTGCCCCACCATGCCCGGCAAATGTCAATTTTTTTTTTTTTTTTTTTGTCTTTTTGGGACAGTGTCTCCCTGTAGCCCCAGCTGTCCTGGAACTCACTATGTAGACCAGGCTGGCCTTGAACTCATAAAGATCTGCCTGCCTCTGCCTCCTGAGTGCTGGGCTTAAAGGCGTGCCCCACCATGCCCGGCAAATGTCAATTTTTTTTTTTTTTTTTTTGTCTTTTTGGGACAGTGTCTCCCTGTAGCCCCAGCTGTCCTGGAACTCACTATGTAGACCAGGCTGGCCTTGAACTCATAAAGATCTGCCTGCCTCTGCCTCCTGAGTGCTGGGCTTAAAGGCGTGCCCCACCATGCCCGGCAAATGTCAATTTTTTTTTTTTTTTTTTTGTCTTTTTGGGACAGTGTCTCCCTGTAGCCCCAGCTGTCCTGGAACTCACTATGTAGACCAGGCTGGCCTTGAACTCATAAAGATCTGCCTGCCTCTGCCTCCTGAGTGCTGGGCTTAAAGGCGTGCCCCACCATGCCCGGCAAATGTCAATTTTTTTTTTTTTTTTTTTGTCTTTTTGGGACAGTGTCTCCCTGTAGCCCCAGCTGTCCTGGAACTCACTATGTAGACCAGGCTGGCCTTGAACTCATAAAGATCTGCCTGCCTCTGCCTCCTGAGTGCTGGGCTTAAAGGCGTGCCCCACCATGCCCGGCAAATGTCAATTTTTTTTTTTTTTTTTTTGTCCTTTTGAGACAGGGTCTCCTTGTACCCCCAGTGTATTCGTTTTTAAAAAATTTCTTTTACTTTTTTTATTTTTAAGGTGCATGAATGTACTGTCTGCGTGCAAGTGTACCATGTTGTGCCCACAGAGGTCAGAAGAACGTCGGATATGCCATGTGGGTGCTGGAAACCAAACCTAGTCCTCTGCAAGAGCAGTGCTCTTAGCCACTAAGCCATCTGTCTAGCCCCAGGGATGTATTCTTTTGAAAAATGTGAGATCAACGAACACAGGGCAAACAGCAAAATGTGAGGTAAACTAAGGCAAGGAGGACAGAAGAAAATAACGTCTAGGAACCAATGAGGACAACTTTTAGATTTCTATACAAAAATTTACCATTAAACTATGCTATGATGAACGTATGGAAACAAAATGTTTTCAAATATGAATTCTGACAAAATAACACTAACCTGAACTGAACACACACACACACACACACACACACACACACACAGATGCCCCAATGTGTGTATGTAAGCATAACTGAAAACTTCACTGGCCATTACTAAAAAGCTTAATTACCATAAGGAGCTCTTCCAGCCAAGGGGTTTATTAATGGAGTTGGGTTACCACTTCCTTCCCTTCTGTTTCGGTCTGCTAATGCTGGAAAATCTGAAAGGTCCAATCCTGTCACATTTTCACTGCCATCTAAATAATAAGAAAGAATATGAGTTATTGATTCCATAAACAGTTAAAATGAGATTATAAAATCTGAAATGCAATTTGAAAACAACAGTGCCTTCTTCTTAAATAATGCATAGTGCTGTAGCAGGTATATGCCATTCTGATTTTGTGTCAAAGAATTTCTCAACAACTGAAGAAAGCAACATACAAGCAGCATTTTTTAAACCCCAAATTCTAGAGGTTCAAGATACAGAATAAAGGGTAAGACTATACATTATTAACCTCAAAGGAAGACTGCAATTTAAAATTATATCTTGTTAGGTAACAAGAAGTAGGCTGCTAAGCTATAACTGCTTTTTCATTATAACTGGATGCAAGTTGTATCTGGAATGTTTGGAGCTTTAGCTACACAAGATGTAATGACATTACCTCCTGCAAATGTCTGCAAGACGCTGAGGCAGACAGTGGATAGAGAAGCCCTGAGGGCTCTACCCTGTGCACTGTTAGCCAGAGATAAAAATGTCTACATCTGCATGCCTATGTGAGGTCTCAGCAGGGGTGGAAATCTCCCATTTCTGGGAGTGGATGGGAAGTAAAGGAATGACCAAAACCTAGAAGTTTATACTACCTGCTACACAGTAGGCGCTCAATAAATACACTGAATAAGTAAGAATTTGTTTTATCCATTTTAAATCAGCCTATCTTCTGAAATAAAAATTTAATCCAACTTCTCTACTTTGTCTATTTTAATCTTTTTCTCAAACTTTTAGTGTTCTTAATCTTGTACTCTAATTTTTGAAGCAATTAATTTTCTAGCTACAATTTAGCTATATTTTTCTTCTATTTCATCTGGCTTAATAACCATTTTAAACAATGGCCTTTTTGACATTTTCCAATTAATTTTTATTTCTCTCCAAATTTCATAGTTAAAAGAATCTCAGCTATTACCCTAAGATTAAAGTGGTTGATAAAAAAAAAAAATCAACGGACTATATTAACACAACAACGCAGGTGATAATTTAAAACTACAGGGTAAGGATAGTCATTCATATCCAGTATTTGAACAAATTTATGAATTTTCAATTAAAAGTACAATATGAATAAAACAAGACAAAGTTTTATAAAATATCTCTTGAATAATTTGATTATATTTTAATTTTAAACTTGTGACTATACATTAGTTTTCAATATACATCTTTAGGTCTTCCAATGTGCAATTTTTAAATTTTTCATATATTACATGAGAATATATTTAACCAATAACTTCTAACTTCCCAGATGGATACTCTTAGGAAAAAACTTGAAAATAGTTTTTCTCATATAAAACGTAAGAATTTAAAAGTCTGAAATTTTATGTGTATAAAAACATACACAATTCAATTGAAATGTTATAAGTAGTATAATTTCACAGATATTCCAGAATAAAAAAATGTACATTTTTAAAACAATGAAGCATATTATTGCATAGTATTTTAACACTGTGTATAAAAAACTGTAATATTCAAATGCTAAAATCTCATTTTTTCATGACTTTAATCTTGTTTGAGCAACTCCTAAAACCTAACTGCTAACACTTAGAAGTTAAAAGTCTACACCCACAAACATTTCCTTTCAAATCTTCTCTTATGCTTCTTACATATATGTTCTATTTCAAAAATTGTTATTTCACCTGACACCCTATATCTCACTCCTAATAATCCTGTTTAACTTTGCTCCTGCGAGTATGATCACAGTCTTTATTTCCTTATCATCAAAGGTTCTAGAAGCCAAGCAAACCAGTAATACTGCTCCCTGTTCTCTTCTATCTAAAGCAGTTGCTATGAGAAACCAATAATCTAAATGAATTTTCCATCAAAATCAGAATTTGTTTCCAGGTAGCTAAAATCTGAATCTTACAGATAAAAGCTATTGAGGAAGAAAAAAAAAAAAAAAAACCCAAAAACAATTTTAAGATTCTCTTCAATCGGAGCCTCTAATCAAAATGTCATCCCACCCAACCTAGTCTACACTACTTCCTCATAGTGACAGAGCTAAGGACAGGAAAAGTTTCGAAGGGAGAAAAAAAAAAAAAAAAGAGATCCTGAAGTACAAATGTAGACTATATTAGTGTTTACATTTTCTTTAGATGTTAAGAAAATCCTGATGTTACAATACAAACTGCTCTATTACAAGCCAAGTGGAGGAGAAGGGTGCAAATTTAAATCTCTCTCTTCTGTTTAGTTAAATGTATCCCTGACAGATTTTCACTAAATTAAATTCTACCACTTAAAACAAAATCCTGTAGTATTTAAAGACCAGTATGTTGAACTGCTTGTGTTTCAGAGATCTACCATACTTTTATTAGGGTACTAGCTCCAGAGTAAGCTTACCTGTTCCATTAAAAATGTTACTTGATAAGGAGTTATTCATTCCAAATGCCTGATTCCTGTTCATTCCAAATCCAGACATACTGGGTACATAGAAAATAATTTTAGATATACAGTAAGAATACTAACTTTGAGATGAAGAAAAAAGTATATACTTTTGATCTCCTCATACAAAACAAATGTTTCAAAACCAACACTAATTTTATTTTTCTTAGTTTCTTTACTTATTTAAAAACTTTTCTTAAAACTTCCATGAACATGTAAAAACCAAAACATTTTAACCAAATTAATTTAAAAATAAAAACTTAAGAATTTATTTATGAATGTTGAAGAAAACAGAGATTAAGGGCACCATTCAATGTCCTTGGTGAGCTGCCTTGCCGGACACTAGACATCCATGTTTCAAAAGTATGAAGTAGCTTTAAGCTATTCCTCCTGAATACCGGCTCTTCCTTTATTGGTGAAGCTTGCTATTATTTTTCAATTTAAATCTTCTCTTGTGCAGTACCTATCTTTACAACTAAAACATAAACTTCATGAATCCATGTCTTATGCTTCCTTGCGGTCTCTGTCCACTGGAGTTAATGATGTTCAAGACACTCATTAAATGTTGAATTAGTCTGAATTAAGTTGACCTGGTGCTGCTTCTTTCATTGAACACAGTGTTCTAAAACATATCATTCTTATCTAAATGTAGTTTAGCTTTCATCTACTTAACAGTAAACTCTATAATTCTTAATTTTGAACGTATAACTTGAATTTGTAAATAGTTATAAATAGCCACACTGCCCCCCTTTCTGTAGAAGCCTAAGCATGAGAAGGAAAACAAAATGAAGCTGAATTCAGAGGGAAGGCCAAATAATTAGGGGTGTCAATAAGGATTATTAATGTAGATTCTACAATGAAACTGTATCTTTAACTCCAAATAATCTTCTGATAGGTTAGTATACCAGCGGAGAGCAGGGCTAACCTCTTTGAAGATGACAGCTGTAACTTCTCTCCCTAAATCTGTAGAACTATAGCCAACTTTTGATAAGCTATGCAGCTGGTGAAACAACATTCTAGAGAAGCACAGGTAAGTAAATAGGAACATTTGCTTACTATTACATTGGAACTACTGATTATATAGGTAACCTCAAACAGTAACCTCAAACATGAAGCATTCAGATGAAAACATTTTATAGTAAGTACAACTTATTAACGAAAGAATTAAGCAGGGCTTAGGAGATTTATATTTCACTGACGCTTTATATACACAGTATTTTGGTAATTAAAATATGAAAAATACAGAAAGACAAAAACTTCAATTTAAAAATACATTCAATGAGCAGGAATGCAAGAAGATGTAATAAAGCCCAAGCCACAGTTAGGAAGCTACCAGAGAGGGAAGAATTGTAATGACTCATTACAAATAATTTTTTAGAAACTTAAAAGAGGGATAAAACTGTAGAAGAAATACTGAAGAACCTATATTCAATAATTGGAGTTTATGGGCTGATGATCGAAAAGGAAAAGAGCTGATCACCCATGCTCGAGGAGACCTTACAAGTGGACAGAAGAAACTAAATGAGATGGGTGTGGTATCAGCAACCAGATCAAGGTCCTTTCTTTCTTCTCTATAGCCTCCCATAAAAATTAAGTATAAATGTACACATGACACGTGACTCAAATTTAAATGCTGCTTTTGCAAGTCTTAAATTTCAGATACAACTCTCACATTACCCGCACAGCTTGAACACAGAAACAAAATGGAACATTCTTATTATTATTTGTACAGTACATGCAATGGGCAGTATAAAAAGGAGTGAAAAACCACAATAGCTCATTTTTTTTTGTTTTGAATCTTTAGACACCAAATTTACAGCAACACTGTTTTTAAGTAGTCTAGATATACTTGTAGAAAGTCTTTCCTTAGTAAGTAACCTGAGTACAGAATGGTGTTTTAGTTCAAAGACAATGAAACAAAGTATAACTGGTGCAAGGCGGTAGTGGTCAAGCACGTCTCCCTCCAGTCACAGTCATGAACCTAGAACTCTTACCACACAGGTGACCAACCTTACTTAATAAAGGAGGGACACATCAATACAAATTTGCCTGGTGACAACCTAAGAACAAACCCTGTCTAATACTTCCATCAACAAAAAGATTTAATGTGTTTTGTAAAATAAAACTTAATTTTAAAGAGAACGTGGTTTTATCCTGGGGAGGGTTAAAAGTTGTGATGTGTAACAGAATTTTTGCTCATAAATGTATGATGAAACAAACTTATGAGACAGAAGCCAAGACTCAAGGACAAAGTGTTGAGTATGAAAAGGCAAATCTGAGGATATCCCCAAAGACAATTATACACAGTATCAATAAACATCTTACCTGTTCACAGTAAAAGGCTGTCGAGAAGGCTGCTGCTTTGGCATACATATTATGCTTGGCGAGCTTCTGTTGGGGCTACCTAACCCTGAACTGCTCATGCTATTTGTCCTGCTAGGAATTCCAATGCCCTGACCAACCTGGGAGTGGTTCATCATATTCCTAGGATTCATAGGCAAAATACCCCTGAAAAAGAAGTCCATTACACTAAATAAACTCTCTATAATCACTCATTAAAATGCTCTATAAATAATCAATTGCTCTAATCCCTAGAACTTCAAATATACTTTCAAGTTGTATTCCTAATTTTTATTAAATTATTTTGTCTAGTCATTCTAGCTCTTTGAACAGAACATCAAAGTATAAACAAGTAAAAAAGGGCAAATTATAGTGGAACTAAATAAGGTGTTATCTTATATGAAAACTATTGGGTAACTATGACATAAATTACAAATGTATCCTATATATATTTAGCATAATTTCATTCAAAGTTCATGCCATTATATCATCTTGATATTAATATGCATAATCTACATTATCTGTTTTATTTTATTCTCCCTAAGCAATAGATGTATGGTGAAGGAGCAAGCAAGGATCACAACTATCTGGGGGAGTAATTTTAAATTGAACATCTTTGAGGAAGAGGTACACAGGTTCTGTAAAAGCTCCCCAGGAGGCAATTAACCCTTGACTCACCCAGATGACTAGAATACTAGCTACAGGATGAAAACACCTTACACTGTGCTTATTACTTTGCAATGGAATAAAATGAGCATGGTATTTTTTCTTAGTGAATGGCACTGAACCAGAAAATCAAGTAATCAATTACCTTATTAAAAAATAAAAAGCTTGCTTACTCTACAAAGATACATCCTGAAAATATTCTGGTCCATCAATAAATACCTGCTTGGAGATGGAGGCGTGTGAAGTGACATTGTTGGTACCCCTGTTGTTGGCGTGACGTGGCTCGGTAACTGAGTGCCTTGTGATAAGCTGCGATTTAACTGAGGGGTATTGTTGCTCATTCCCCTCATTGGAAGGCCTAGTGCACCTAATAAAAAAATTCAGAAGAAGGAAATTCATTGCCATCAGGAATGAAATTGGTATCCATCTTCTGGAGTTGGCAATTTAAAACATTTTAAAATGACCTAATATAATATGCAAATTTTAAATTGATAATATTCAATTCACTGCTAATGGACTCTGATTTTTAACAAAAAGCTCTAGTCTAACAATTAATATTTGAGTATCTTTGTATTTTTTCATATCTATTTTACAATAAACTATGCTAATGATTGTAACAAATAAGAAGCCACAATAATTTGAATGGACATTGTTCTCAAATTTATTAAGGGCATATTTGTGAAATTGGCACATGAAAATATGCCTTTAAGAAATTTCGTGTGTTTTGTTTTAATTTGCAATCAATGTACACAGAAAAACAATTATTCCCACTTTGTTGTAATATCTTTAATGTTTATATGACCCTTTGTAAGCTCATTTTACAGAAAATCTCTATTGTTAGTATATACATATATTAGAGCATTACAATTTTTACAAACCCAACATACAACATTTAGCAGTTGTTTTTAAAAAACTTAACCTGCTTTAGGATAAAAAAAACAAAAAGCAAAACTGAAGTCATTTTGAAAACATTTCCAAGTATAATGACCCTATATTTACCTAACACATCAGGGATAGATATGCTCTAGAAATGTAATTTTTAAGACTACTGAGATTTGCCATTCAGATATGAAACACAAAAATATTAACCAGTTGGACAAACTTATTTTTTAAATGTATGACACATTCACTGACTTTTATTGACAGTATAAAAAACAAATCATTCTGAGATTAAGAATGGATAGCTAGTGTTCTACACATGTTTATCTTTCTCCTTATCTCACAAGACACATAGCTATCACTTATGTTGTCATCCTATCTGTCTATGAATGCCTTCCTTTCTCTACCTTTCTGACCCATGTGTTTTTAGTGCTTTCTGTTTTCAATGTGCTAAAGAATGATGCATTGGTCAATCAAAGTTATTTTTAATGAGAAGTTAAAGTAAAAAGATGTAATCAGTAAATAGACAACTCTGCTGGGGATTTGAGATGTTATTTTTCCTTACTGCTTTAATTTTGGGTCCAAGAACTTCAAAGACCTGAAGTGTGAGGCTATACCTTCCAAATAAATTAAATACTGCATATTATTTTCTCTTAAACATTCTTGCAAAATTTATTTTTTGGTACAACATATCTGAAGTGCTCAAAAAGGCTTCACTGATAGCTATCTGAAAGTTGGGAACCTCAGAATTTCTTTACAATACTTAGAAGGGTAGTAACTTAGATCATATATTGGCTTAGTCACTGTATTTGTGTCTAGCCACGCTTAGTTTTTTGACCTTGAGAATGTCACAGGTTGCTGTCATGTTTTCTGAATCCAGGACAAAATAAGGAAGAATAAACAATTAAAAATCAGGGGCTGGAGAGATGGTTCAATGGTTAAGAGCACTGGCTGCTCTTGCAGAGGAGCTGGGTTTGATTTCTGGCACCCACGTGGCAGCTAACAACTGTAACTCTAGTTCCAGGGGAATCCAATGCCCTTTTCTGACTTCCACAGGCATTGCACAACACAGGTGCACTTAGATACACGCAGGCAATACACCCATACACATGAAATAAAAATAATAAAGTATTTTTTAAAAATTGGCCTACTCAAGATTTCTTCACAAGAAATCAGTCTTTCCACCCCCGCTAAAACATACCAGTTTTCCTGTAGGTCCCATGAGTGGTTTTCATAACGAACTATCAAAATTATACTTCATATTACTTGTTCAACACAGTTACTGAATGCCTATTATGTGGCAAGCACTATACTAGCTGCTAGGGATAGAGCAGCAGACAAAACAGAAAAGGATCCTAACCTCAGGGTACCTAAAACTTACTCCTAAACAGTATTGTAAGGTCAACTCTAGACACCAATTTCCAATAAGAATGTACTTTCCAGTTACTCATCTCCAAAATTATATATTTTTGGATCTTAAAGATCACCTAATGTTCACATTTTACAGATAAGAAATCTGAGCCTCAGATAAATTAACTGACTTCTCCAAGGCGACACAAGGAACTAGGACTAGAATTTGGATCTCTTAGTTTGTAGCATTCTTGAAGGGCAGAACTATGCGAGACAACTGTGCTAACAATGTGAGTGCCCAATGAATTCCAAAGCTTTTCACCCAGTTTTCTTTCTCCAACCTTCTTTTGGATGTTTCTATTTGTTGGATATCTATAATCCATCCCTCTATCCACCCACCCACTGCAAATCTTTTTCTCTTTTCCTCTATTTTCACTCATCTTATTGTTTGCTGATTTTCTCTTTCGTTTCACTTTTCTTTCTTTTTCATACATTCATCACTCAGTATAAGCCTGTACTTCCCCCTAAATCTAGTATCTTTCTGGCCTTAAAACAAAACAATCATTAGAGCCTACAAAAGACTCACTGAGATTTGTTCACTTTAACTCTGTATTATTCTGTAGTATATATTAAACATTTCTTAACTTCAGCAATACATTATATACTGGACATAATCTGCATTTATTAGAAAAGGAAACAAGAATGGGTAAGGTACGCAACAATTGGCTTATCTGTGTTTACAGCGAAAAGAGTGGTGGAGGAAGATAGTAAAAAGCAAAGAAAATAAATTTTAGTGTCAAATTCATCTTCATAAAAACAGCTGAAGTTCAAAAGGTCTGTTTCATTTTGTTGAAATACACATGAAAGATCAAAAGAGAAAAGTACATATTATAAACTATACCATCAATTCATAAATATTTTATAATGGGGTTAATTGAACCTAAAAACTGAAATTCTTTAAAAAAATTAACAGCACTGAATGGGGGCATAAGAAGATATATTTTTATGAAAGAAAATATACTTAGTCATTACATATGAGGTACTTGAGTCAAACTATTATTAACTAGACAGGTTCAGGGAGAGAGAAAATATCTTTTACTAATTATAATTAATACAAAGTCATCTCTCTAAAGCTTCAGGATAATAATATGGCATACAAGCTACAAAAAGAAAAGAAAAAAAAATCTCAAAGGCTGTTGGAAGTGGCATAAAGCACTACAGAGGTACAATATAAGTAGAAGTATGTGTACATGAGCTTGTGCAGAAACAACTGGGAGAACAAATAAAAATTTATTGACCCCCTAACAATCAGGCATTAGGCTATTCCTTTATCTCCTTTCCTTTCTTTCTTAAAACAATCAACATGGAAGGCATTTATTCCTTCATCCCAGTTTTTACACACAAGGAATAAAAATAAAACAAACACAAATCAATTTACATGTTTACAGTTCTGGATCAATCTTTGCTTTCAGGAAGTCAGTATGAAGATATTCTAGGTTCCTACCTATTATTTGGCAGGAGGCTAAGGCAGTTAGAGAATGAATTAAATTCTTTATGGATTCTTTTATAAAAATTCTAAAAAATTTGACTTAAAAAATATTCTAGGGGACTGGCAATATGGTTCTGTGGGTAAAGGTGCTTGCCTCCAAACCTGATGACTTAGCTTGAGTTCCATCCCCAGGACCCAAATGGTAGAAGGAGAGAACTGACTCTCGTAATTGCCCTTCACATGTGCATGGTGGCATATACACACCCACAAACATACTTGCACACACAAACATTTTTTAATTAAAAATTTTAAGTATTTAATGAATTATGTTATACAGATTAACAAAAAATCTCTTAAATATTTATGACAGCTGTACCAGCCTATGCTTACTATATTCCTATAGATAAACATTACTAAGACCTGTTAGATGAAAAATACTCAGTTACAGCAACCAATACTAAGCACTTAAATTAAGCTCTGAAATTCTTTTCATTCCTAAAGCAGTCAGCTTCCTGCAGAAATTCTCTGTTGTGCCATACTAACAAAAAACCAGACTGAGGCGGTTCTTAATTTCAGGGTCTTATTTACCTCCAACCTGTCCTGCATTTATTCAAGCGTCCCTGCAAAATTCTTTCACTACGTTCTTCATAAAATTCAAAGAAATTTATAAACAGAAAAAAACTTTAGAGATCAAGTTACAGATGAAGAAATCTAACCAGCCATTAAAATTTCTTGCTCAAGATCACAAACAACAAAGCATAAACAATTCAACTTCTAACTCCTATTTCAATGCCTTTTTAGAATTAATATTACTTTCTACTTTTATGGCAGTTGCTAATTTTTATATTTCCCAGTGAACTTTAATAACTGGGTCTCATCTCAGAAATTGTGACCTAGTTTGAGTTTGGGGAATTCATGGGCAGAATTTTAAAACTTCCTCTGCTTTTAGGTGTAGCCAAGGCTTGAGAGCCACCATTCTACAGTATTAAATCCAATCACAGCTTAGTCTTTAGAATTCTGTCAGGATTCAAAAGATTCTAATCTTCTACTGCTTAGATACTATACGTATGATTAATAATCTTTATTCATCATTCCCTACACGTGTCTTCAAATCTGTCCCTGTACCTTCACAACTCATAGCATTCCCCCACTAAGAATACTTTCTCTTCTACACTAGAGGTTAAGAAAACTATTTTAAAATGAATATATAAGTGTTAGGACTGAGGCAATGTGTCACAAAGTGCTGGAGTGTGTGTATAAGGGACCACTAACTTAGACTTCAGAAAAGGGTGCATTTGGGATCTGAAAATATTTCCTGGAGACTGTATGAATACAATAACAAAAAATGATTTAAGTAGGTAAGTAGTGGTATAGGGGTGAGAAGTCAGGTGGACAGAAATGGCATGACAGTTCAGTCTTAGAGAATAACAAGCTATATGAAAATGAAGACAAGTAATCCCTCTCTCCCTCCTTCCCTCCCAGTGGCCTTTTCATTCCATCTTTAACATGCTGAAGTTCATTTTTATGTTTTGAGACTTAGAACTTTCATGCTTACTGTTCCTATATCTGAGCTCCCTTCAAGATCAGACCAGGGACTCTTATTCTTAACATTCAGGTTTCCATTTGAATTTTACCTCCTTAGACGCAGTGTACTCTCTTTGCCTGATCCATGTAAAATATTAAGCCCATTCACCCACCCCATTAACTTTTGCAGTATTCAGCACTAGAATTATATTATTTACTCAGCTGTCTGTATGTTTATTCTGTTTCCTTCCACTGACTGTAAACACTATAAAAGCAGGAACTTTATCTGTTACATTCTTGCTTAGATCTTGGAATACCATACTTAGGGTTAGCAGTCAATACATCATGAATAAATAAATCCTATCCCAACACCTTCAGTAGACAATTCAGGAGATTATTGGCATCTGTGGATTTAACATAAGAAATTTCTGTGCAAATGATTCACTGGAATAATGACATTAAGCTTCTAGGTTTCAGAAAATCTGTTCTAACTCATGCTCAGAGTTGTTCTTACAAAGTAAACTAATTCTGGTCCTATCACTTGGCATCTAGATAACCTTGCAAGTTCCTTAACTTCTCATGGAAATGTGAAGCTTAAACAAGGTAATTCATAGAATATACTGTAAACAGTGAAATATTAGTTTTTTATTTTAACATGCCCATGGGGGGGGGGGAACAGCCAACAAATGAGCCTAATGAAGCGATAGTTTTCACCAGAAAATAGACATTTTATGGAGAAAATTTTATGATATAGTTTTGATCTCTCATGTGGAAAGTAGTGAAGATCTTGAAATATGTGGGCATTAAAAGAAGACCGTTACTTACTGTCTGATATCAATTTAGCAACCAGAAAACTCCAACTGCCTACATTGCTTCATAATACAATCACCGACATGCTTAAACTATCAGATCATATGTAAGAGACTTATCCTGCTCAGTATAGAGTCAGCAAATATTTACTGAGTCCTTGTCATAAGTGGAGTACAGACCACACAAAGGTAATTTAGACATGTAAAATTTATTCAGGACTAACTATCACAGCAGTGGTCAGCACACATCTGTAGTATTTAGAGGGGCATGACATGTGTGACAGGTACTCAACAAGCATATGTCAAACTGGCTGCTTTAATATCAATAGCATTACTTTTGAACCATGCCAATTATACTCTCTTTCTACAAAGCAAGCAATTTTTCAGAGAAGAATTAGACTGTGTCATCATCCACAATCCAGGAGTCTGAATCCCAGGAGGATTCCTTTCTTTTCTCAGCTAGAGGCCTGGCAACTTTCAGAATCCAGACGCAAATGTCTATAATGGATCCATCATGACAGCTAATTAACTAGATATAATACACACATAGGAGGGGCTCAATATTAAGTTTCTCTTTTCTCCAGTTACAAAACTATAAATACTATTCCTAAGTAAGGAAAGGTTGCTCTAACTACACAACCACTAATTTCAATGCACTGAAGACCTAGAAGAAATGGATTTCTGGTTTTCTGTCTACTTGGACACAGTACATTTAAGCTGTCCAAGAACATTTAAGCCCACAAGACGGACTCAAATCTTATGTACACATTTAAAATACAAGTATAGAATATCATGAAACTTGAAGACAACAGTATGCTTACTGGCTTCTAGAGTTATCATCTGGTGAATAGTATTCACATTAGCCCTTGGGAGAAAAGTTACTTATATATTTAGACACAATCACATTACCCTAGAACCTGAAGTCATATAATCCTCTAATCCGGTATTCTCTGGGTACCACATGTCTTACTATATAATTACTATCCAGACCTGGAAAAATATAGGCTTAAATACTTCTGTGTCCATTTCAAGAAGATCCCCTACCCTTACTGTTTAATTTCAGCAAATTTTAGTTCTAGAGAAGACAGCTTTCCTTCTTTACCCCTTCTATCTCTAACTTTTAAAAATCAAGACTAAAGAAAGGACTGAGAGCACAGAAATGTTATGGTGCTTGCCTAGCATGTACAAGGGCCTGCGTTCAATACCCAGCCCCCCAAAATAAAACAGAACAAGAGTCATGGTAATCCTAGCATTTGGAAGACACAGGCAAGAGGATCCTGAGTTCATGGCTAGCTTAGCTACACAGTTGAGACCCTGTTTCAAAAACACACCTAAACCCAGACATACCAACAAAACCAAACCAGACAGTAGATCTTACATTTAAAAAGTAGAAATTCCTATTGACCTTTACAAAATATAAATACAGACATAATGGTGGTATTTAATGTACTTAGGAGGAAAAAAAACTGAATTATATCAACCTCAATGTGCAATTACAGTAAATTACCATAAGAATAATATTTTTAATCGACTATTAACTCTTTTATCTCTGTCATTAAAGTCTTCACTCATATTTTATCATTCTAACATACACAATTAAAACTTTAACCCCCTAAGTCTCACATGATAGACTGTGTTCTCCCATTTGTTTTTGTTCTGTTCCGACTATAGCCACCAATTAAACGATCTATTTGGCCCTCTGGGGTCTCTCCTAACAGAGAATGGGCTGCCCTTTGTCATCAGTTGTTAAGTTACAATTTGTATCTTGGAAAATAACTGCACCTGGCTCAAAACTGTTGACCCCAGGATTGATCTTTCAGTAGGCTAATACTTTTCTAAAACATCAGTTTAAAAGAGTAAGCTATACATTCAAAATGCTACTTCATCAATGTTACTGAATATAGATTTTATAAATCTTAAGTTCAACAAGGAATGTTTGTCATATATGGCTTCTTTTAAAAACTAGTAAGTATCCTTAAGGTACTTCTCTCAGAGAAAATAAATTTGCTCACTAATCTTCATATGTCCTAACATCAAACAAAATGATTTAAAGTAAGCTGGAAGCCAGTAAATATCTACTAAGTAAAGGACATTACTACCTTTCACATCAAATTCATTCTATAGCTTGCCCAAAGCAATTTCACATTTCTAAGTTTAAAAACTTAGGTCAGATTTTTAAAAGTCCAGATAACTGATTTTAATCACTTCTACTCTCCTTTATAAAAATTAACAACTGTTTCTTGAATGTAATTTTTAAAATCAATTTCACATCTTCTTTCTACTATGATAAACTGTAGCCTTTAAAAAGAAACAGACCTGTATGTAGCTGTCTTACTGAAATAGAAGATAGCTTTAAAATAGCTAGATATTTCAACTGGAAGGCTTACCAAAAAGGTAAAAGCCATACTAACCCAGGCTAAACAGAATGCATTACTAGCTCTCAATACTATCTCAACAGGTATGATAAACATTTGTGGATAAACAACTCTGAATTTAAATAATAAAAGGGTTTTAAAATAAGTTCATGTTTACTCAAAAGAAACTCGCTTATATATGAAATTATTTACTAATTCTTTATTAACTTATGTTCCACAGCAAAGGAGGAAAATCATAAAAGGTAAGACAGAAAGAACAGATGGAAGCAATGCTTATATATACAAAGCAAGTTTTCTCCCCCACCTGCAACTATGCTTTCAAATCAATGTACAGGGGAAGCAGCATGACAAGCTGTGGTGACACCTATCAGAACTGTCTTTCCCCTACATAGGGAGAACTCCAAATCAACTGAGTTTACTTGAAGCTGGTTAAGATAGTTATCAGATGTCTTATCCAGTTACCTGATTATGCTCTAATCTTTGGTGGTAATTTATAACACTTTATCTCCCGCTCCATTAACATCAATGAGAAATCAGCGGATTTTTTGACACTAACAAAGGATGATAAAATTTTATTAATATGTACCATTTGGGAAAGTTAATTTGAAAAAAAATGTGAAAATATTTTATAATGTAGAGTTTTATAAAATTTTATGTGATGATAATAGCTAACATTTATTGAGCACTTACTATGCGTCAGGCACTGTGCTAAGCGCTTTAAAACTAATACTTTATATATAAAACAAAATCTTAGATAATGAAAAAAGTGTGAGTTAAAAAATTCAGATGTTATAACCAGACAGAGCTAAAGCAAAAAAACAAACAATCAAAAAAAAGAATTTGCTGCAAAATAATGGATTTACAGCAAAAACAAAACAGATCAAACCAAACCAAACAACCTAACAAATCCAAGAAAATAAATCTTTTAACTTCCTCTAATTGAAAACATAAAGGATGACTACTTTTAATTTTCAACCTTTCAAAAATACTGTAAAGAATATATGTACATAAGATGCCAACATGAATTTCAATGTATGCTATATACAAGAAACAACAAATTTCGAATAAGACCCAACATGAGGTTTACTATAAAAGTAAACCAAATTTTTGAAAATTAGTTACCTTTTCTGTTAAAAACTACAATAAACCCACAAAGGCAGCATTGATTGTTCTGTATTTAATATGATTTATTTTTTCTTTAAATAAAAAGTATCCCAGAATAAATACAAAAGTCTTACTTTGTTGCCCGTATAAACTTGCCCCAAACTGAGACAGCTGACCTGATGTGGATGGTGATGCCAGCATCTAGAAACAAATGAATTAAATTAGGGCTTAAAGAAAACAGAGAGCAGTGTAGACACATCATAGAAATCTATACTTCACACCATGAATATGAAATTCAATGCACATGATCATTCTTCATTAAACATAAACAAATATATATTTCACATTCCCTAAAACAATCATAACTGAATAAAACCACTGGATAAAACCAAATTGTGAAAACAGGAAATCCTTATCAAAATCTTTTGTAATTCAATAAAATATTTATCTTAAAAAAGTTACACTGAAGTATAACAGCACTTAACAGCACTATTACTTTAAAAAAAAAAAAGACTAGGTTAACAAAAGCACAAAGCTAAAATATCAAAGTCAGTTTTAAAAATTTAAGACTGGCATTGATTTTAGACTATTCATTAAAATAAATTCTATGACCTTAATAGAAAAGTTTGTACTTCTTAAGTATTTGATTTTATGTTCACAAAGACTGAATAAAACAAATTCAGTCTATGACCTTAATAGAAAAGTTTTACTTAAGTAGAGTGGAGAGGAAACAACAGCAAAAGACAAGTGAACACAAGACATGGTATCTGATTCATATAGATTTTTAGTAAGTGATACAGATTTCAAGGCATTTGCTATATAGTGCCTTTGAATTTACTGCAACAATGACTCATTTTTCTGGTAGACTGCAAATTCTTTAGAGGTATGTAACATTCACAGAACATGCTATGCTTAATTTTATATTTCTTTACAAATGCAGAAATGCAGAAGTGCCATATACAGAAAAGATATTTAAGCTGAATAAATGAGGATGTGTAAGCCTATGTTTGAACATTCCATCTCATACAACCACCAAAACTAAAACCTTTAATTTAACAGGATATGGATCAGGTCATCAAGAGGCTTATAATCTAGTGGGGAAAGAGAAGTAATTATACAATTACATCCCAAAACTTAGTGTGGCAAATGCTATAATAAAAGTATAAAGCATCATTGGAAAAAGACCATTCTGACCCAAAGTGAGGGATCAGTAAATCTTTGTAGGGACTAACATTTGAGGAAGTTACAGAAGAGGGATCTTTCAGGCCAATAATATGCAGTTAGCATAAGGTTAATGGTGTGATTAGAAAAAATAGTAAGAAATAGTGGTGACTAGATAATACAGCAACCAGGAAAGGAGATAAAGTTAGCCCTATTGATTGTGGGTGAACTTGTAAATTGAAAAATCATCCATGAAACAATTTAATGACATCTATGGAAATTAAAAATGCCCGTGCTGGGGGAAAAAAAAAGAACGGGAAATGAAAGAATACTAGCAAAAAAGAATTTAAAGGATTGGGGCTAGAGAGATAGAGTGGTTAAGGGCACAGGCCACTCTTGCAAAGGACCAGGGTTCCGTTCCCAGTACCCATATGGCAGCTCACAACTGCTTTTAACTATAGTTCCAGGGGATTCAATGCACCTCCACTCATGTTACACATATATCCACACAGTTACACACATTCATGTAATAATAAATAATTAAATTCCAAAGGGCCTTCATTACTATCATTTAAAGACACCTGTCAATAAGGAAAAATATTATGAAAAAGACAAAATCAGAACGTGCATTAGGAAGCTAATGACGAAATGGAAAGAAATGGTGAAACAGCAAATTAGAACACTTGGGGACTACAAACAAGGTTACAGGAGTAACAGTATTTAATATCTTAGTGTAGTTGGAACATAAGGAAAAGGGAGTGGCAAATGATGATTGCAGAGGACGATCTTTTTCTTTTCTTTGCGATTTTCATAAAGGAAAACTAAAACATTTAAATAATGACAACTTTATAATATAGTATTTCATGTTATTTTCATGCCACAATTTTTGTTGTTATAATTACTCTAAAGTTTACAATATATTATGATAGCTGTTTTAAACATTGGTACAATCATACTTTCCAGAGGTAGGGCTGAACTACATACCACTCTAAAAACAGCAGCACTTGTAATAATGATTGTCCTAATAAAGCATCAACTCATAAAAATAATCCTTCTTAAATCTAGTTGTGTATATTCTAGACAATTATATTTACAAGCCATATATTCTTTATCACATATAAAAAAATAGATCAAAAGATGCTCTATCAAATTCTTCTGTTAGATACTAGTCATTGTTTCTTCCATATCAACAAGAAAGACTTTATACACACAAAAAAATTGAAAGTAGGTAGGTATATAAGAATATATAAACCTTTAGCTAGTGACAAAAGGTCTATGTAAAATGGGTAAGAATCACGACTTTGCTATTATTAACAATAAATCAAAGAATTTAATTGCTCCCAAGGTTTCAAATATAAGACATTGGCCAGCATGATTATACAACTTAGAATATCAATAATGTAAATGCTTTCAAATGGATACCTTCTAAAAGGATTATGCCTACTGAATACTTAACTCCTGAGAATACACATTTCAGTCCATTTTCTACAAAGGACAGATATGCAAATGAATTACTCCTGTGCTAACATGCCTGCCCTTTGAGAGAAAATGAGTGAGAAAAGGGCCCAACATGTAGAAACAATAGCTCCCAGTCCAAGTTATGTAAGCTGTTGGGTGATCCATTTACCATAGTGTGTAATAGAATCATTTTCTACATGGACACTATATGAAGATTAGCAATTAGTACATTATAGAAACATGGCAGCTTAATATAAATTAAAAATGTATCCTAGCAAGGCATCAACTATTATTATCAGACTACAGGAAATTTATTATTATTATTTAAATGAAGAAAGTTGTTTAAAAAAATTCTAGCCAGGCTTTGTGATGCATGCCTTTAGTCCTAGTATTCAGGTGAATCTCTGCAAGATCAAGGCCAGCTTGGTCTGCATGGTGAGTTCCAAGTCAGCTGGGACTACAGGGAGAACCTGTCTTAACACCCGCCCCCTCCCCGGCAAGGAATTTCTTAGAAACACAAAATCTAGACCACTAAATACATTACAGTAGAGAATTCAGTATAAGTAGAAAAACTATATTTTAAAGTCAGAAATTTACTTGGGTATGAATTCTGGTTTTTTCGCTTACCTATGGAAGAAGAGCCTTTACTTCCTTCAAGAAAATAACACTGCCATCTCACAGAATTGAAGATTAAATGAGGTAAGATATGTTATATGTGGCAAGCATTTAATGAATTATAGCAGAAGCTGCTAAGAATCTAAGGTTTCAGTGCAAGACCCTCTTAGCCAAAAGGGTATTTATTCTATGGGAAATTTATTAAGTATCATTTGTAACTTAAAATACTTATTTTGGGACTGGAGACATGGCTGTACAGTTAAGAGCACTGGCTGTTCTTGCAGAGGACCCAGGCTCTGTTCCCAGGACCCACATGGCTGTTAACTATCCCCAGTTTCAGGGGATCCAACACCCTCTTCTGACTTCCACTGGCACTGCATGACACAACAATACATTCATACACATAAAATAAAAAATATTTTTTAAAGACAAGGGAAAAAAAGAGTAAGAAATAATTAC